GGCTGTGATTTGCTCTCCTTTCTGGACGCATATTTTGGGTATCACCAAATCTTCATGTCCAAGGAAGACGGAGAGAAGACGTCGTTCATCACTCCATGTGGTGCGTACTGTTTTGTTCGCATGCCGTTCGGATTAAAGAGTTTTGGGTCCACTTTCGCAAGGGAAGTCTAGATTGGTTTCGAGCCACAGTTGCACAGAAACATTGAAGCTTATATGGATGATATTGTGGTCAAGACCAAGGATAGAGCCACCCTTATTATGGATTTGGAGGAAACCTTTGCTAATTTGTCCAAGATCAACCTGAAGCTCAACCCAGAGAAGTGTGTGTTTGGCGTTCCCTCCGACAAGCAGCTTGGGTTCTTTGTATCCCAATGGGGGATCGAAGCCAACCCTGACAAGATTAAAGCTATCGAACAGATCCAATCACCAAGGACAGTCAAGGAAGTCAGGCGTCTGACGGGGTGCGTTGCCACGCTAAGTAGATTCAATGCCAAGACCTCCAAGGACAAATTTCCTATCCCCGTCGTGGATGAACTCATGGACAAGCTACATGGGGCATGCTTGTTCACCAAGCTCGACCTACGTTCGAGATATCAACAGGTGCGGATGCACCCAGACGATGTCGCGAAGACGACCTTCCGCACTCATCATGGCCACTTCGAGTTCTTGGTGATGCCCTTTGGCCTCTCCAATGCCCAGACGACATTCCAGGCGTTGATGAATGACATGCTCCGCCCCTACTTGCGCCGGTTTGTGCTTGTTTGATTTGATAACATTCTTATCTACAACTCATCATGGGTGGAGCACCTGCAGCACGTGGCCATCGTCTTCAACGAGCTTCGAGCACACCATCTGCACCTCAAGTGCTCGAAGTGCTCATTCGACACGACATCAGTGGCCTATCTCGACCACTTCATCTTGGCGGATGTCGTCACTATGGATGCCGACAAGGTCGCGGTGGTCGCGGCTTGTCCAACGCCGCACTCGCCGCGGGCCCTCCGCGGCTTCTTGGACCTCGCTGGATATTATAGAAAATTCATCCGGGAATTCAGCCTCATCATGGCCCCACTTACGCACCTGCTGCGCCTTGACGCCTTCCCCTGGGATACGGAGGCGACTGAGGCATTTCGGACCCTCAAGCAGGCTCTCACGACGGGGCCGGTCCTCCAGATGCCTGACTTCGACAAGTTGTTCATGGTGGATTGCGACGCCTTGGGCATGGGGTTTGGCGCCATCCTCCATCAGGGCGATGAGCCACTTGCATTCTTCAACAGTCCCTTCACCGCCCACCATCACTAACTTGCAGCCTGCGAGAGGGAGCTTATCGGCTTGGTGCAGGTTGTGCGTCAATGGCGGCCGTATCTTTGGGGGCAGCCGTTCTATATTCTCACGGATCACTACACCCTCAAGTTCTTGTTGGACCAGCGCCTCTCCACCGTGCCGCAGCATCAGTGGATCAGCAAGCTCTTTGGCTTCAACTTCACTGTCGAGTACCGTCCGGGACACCTCAACACCGTTGCCGTCGAACTGTCCTGCAGCGATGATGACAACGACACCGACACCATCGACCCCGCGGGGGCGGCCCTCTGCATCCGCTCGGGGCCCTCCTTCGCCCTCATCGACGACATCTGCAGGGCCACCACGAGCGCTCTAGATGCACAGCTCCTTCGGCAACGCCTCGACGCTGGCGACCTGGAGGAGCGATGGCGCATGGCTGATGGCCTGCTCCTGCATGGGCGCCGACTCTTTGTTCTGGATCACGGCGACATCTGTCACCAGGCCCAGCTGCCTGCCCACTCGGCCTGTCACGAGGTCGTGTAGAAGACCCTCCACCATCTTCGAGCAGATTTCTACATCCCCGGCGACTGGTCGCGGGTGCAAGACTGGGTGCGGTCTTGCATGGCGTGCCGGCGCAACAAGACAGAGACACTGTGGCCGACATGGCTGTTATAGCCCCTTGAGGTGCCCTCTCAGGTCTGGGGCGACATCTCCACAGAATTCATCAAGGGCCTCCCCAAGGTGGGTGGCAAGTCCTTCATCCTTACGGCGGTCGACCGCTTCTCCAAGTATGCACACTTCATTGCACTCGGCCACCCCTACACCGCCGCCTCCGTGGCGCATGCCTTCTTCGACGGCATCGTCCGCCTCCACGGGTTCCCCTCTTCCATCGTCAGCAACCGTGACTCGGTGTTCACTGGTCATGTCTGGCGTGATCTCTTCTGGATGGCGGGCATGAAACTGCGCCTGAGTACGGCATTCCACCCGCAGACGGACGGCCAATTTGAGGGTGTCAACAAGGTGATTGCTATATATTTGCGTTGTGTTACAGGTGATCGTCCCCGGGTTTGGGTGGACTGGCTCGCTTGGGCGGAGTACTGCTACAACACCTACCACTCCGCCCTGCGCGCCACACCTTTTGAGGTGGTCTATGGCCGTCCTCCACCACCCATCCTGCTGGTAGACCCCGGAACGGCCCGAACGAAGGCGGCTGGCGACCTTCTCCGCAACAGGGATGAGATCCTTGCCGAGGTGCGCCAGTGTCTTCTCCAGGCCCAGCAGCTGTCCAAGAAGCACTACGACGGCCACCACCATGAGGCGGAGTTTGTGGTGGGCGACTGGGTGTGTGGTTGCGGCTCCTTCACCGCTCCACGCAGTCACTGGATCCGTGTGCTAAGCGCAAGCTGGGCCCTCGCTACGTGGGACCATTTTTCGTGGTGGAACGCATCGGCAAGGTCGCATACCGCCTTTAGCTTCTGCTCGACGCTCGCATCCAGGACGTCTTCCATGTGGGCTTGCTGAAGCCTTTCCGCGGTGATTCGCCGGCGGCCGCGCCGACGCTTCCTACAATCTCCGATGGACGTCTTCTTCTGGGCCCAGCGAAGGTGTTGAAGGCCCAGCAACGCCGTGGCGTGTGGCATTTGTTGATCCTGTGGCAAGGCCTTTTAGAGGAGGACGCCACTTGGGAACCGCTCCAGGAGTTCCGCCAACATTTCTAGACATCCAGCTCGAGAATGAGAAGTTTGCGCAGGCGGGGAGAGATGTTATGATCGGCGTCACTTATAGCCGGAGGAGGCCCAATGGCGCGCCTAGTTAGGGACTTAGCCCAACTTATATTTATTTTTATTAGCACCTCGAGGATGATATAAACACTTGTAAGGAGTAACCCTAGCCGCCTCCTGCACCATCTCCTCCTCCTCTACCGCGCGACCACGGCGCTGTCGCGCCGCCGCTCGCGCCCAGCTCCTCGCTACCCTCTCTTCCACCCCTACAACCTAAGAGCTAGGCCTAGTAGGATCCTAGATCCTATCAGCGGCACTAGAAGCGATGGCTCATCTTCCTCAGTGCCCCGCGCCCGTTAACGCAGCACCGCCGACTCCACCGGCCCATCCTGCGGCTCCTGCCACTCCGCTCCCAACATCCATCATGTACGCAGCCCACCACCACCAAATGTGGGTTTCCTCTACTCCGAATGTGGTACCCACGCACCGCTGGGTCCTCGTACCCACACCGGCACCAGCATGCATTAGGGTTGGCGAGTGGCAGCGGGCGAGGATGAGGGCGGGCAGGGGGGGCTGACCACATGCCGGTCACGTGCGAGCAGAAGGTAATCCTGAGGCCATGCTCGTCGTGTCGGCCCTCCGCCACTCTCTCACGACGGCGAAAACAGATGCGAGGCACCTCGACCGCAAGAATGCCAAGGTGCTCTGTCTCGGCATCTAGTTGTCGGAGTGCGAGGCGAACAAGGAGGCGGCGCCCAAGGCAAAGGCGGCTCGCCGTGCGAAGGAGAATGACCGCCTCATCCGGAGGCTCTTGGGGCAAGTGTGCTCCAAGGACCGCGACATGACGGACGGCTCCACCTCCAGCTCCAATGACGACGCACCGCCACACGCCAACGCCTAAATGGAGGGTAGGCACAGCCGCGCCGACAACCGGAAGGGAAGGGTTCGTCGAGGAAATAGTGATTTCCTCCACCCTTCCCCGGATTATTTATGGTTTACCTATGTTTTATGTAGTTGTATATTATGTATTCGCACTGTCCGCTGAGCTACTCTGATGAACTATGGTCATTTGGTCCGGCGATAAAATGGTGATCCGATGAACTACATGTTGATCGTGTTTATATGTAGTTTTGCATTGGTTGCATGGGTTTGGGGTTTCCCATATGAGGGACATGGCTGTGGAAGCTAACATATGAGGCGTGACCGGTCGAGCGCATCCGCCGGCGTTTGAAGGCCAGAATTAGCTGTCCATGGCTGTTAGTGCTTATGTCAATTACTAGATGACATCACTGCTGATCACATGTCCTAGGATGACATCGTGGCTGACCTCACTATTTTAGACATGGTTTAATCCTACACTAACTATACATCTAACAATGGCGAAGGGATGGGACGTCTATCAGCGAGGTTCATGCACATGGAGGAGGGGCGGGTCGATTACTGTTCGCGCATGGCTCATGGTTGGGCATAACAGCAACCTAGTGTCTCGGCTCTACACAACCAGGCACACTGAACCTACCCGACCCTACCACATTGGACCCCAAAACACCTGGCAGGAACTTGCACAAATTCTGGCCGGAATTGGCACCCCTTGTTTTATCCGGGAGAATTAATGGAGTGAATTGCACTACATTAATTGAAAAAGTAGGTTGCGCGTGTGTGAGGACTGAGGAGTGCCAAAAGAGGGTGCGTCGGCCGCATGATCGAGCTTGTACACACTACCGCAGATCGAGCGGCTGGTTGCGTATTTGTATTTATCCGGAGGAATTAATGGAATGAATTGCACTACATTGATTGCAAAAGTAGGTCGCGTGCGTGTGAGTAGAAGTGCCGAAACTCCATCTCCATCTCCACAAATTGTACACAGCCGCTGGTGACACACAACTGGTAACGTAAGCTTCTCCTCCCTCCCACCCCTCTCCATCTCCATCTTCATCTCCATCTCCGACGACTCTGCTCATCTCACCGCGCGCGTAGGCAGGTGCGGCAGCCAGGGGAACTATGACGGGGCAGCCGCCAAGGCTCGTGTTCCGGTTCACCCAGGCGGAGGTCGCCAAGATGGAGGAGGTCCTCCGTGAGCTCGACGCCAAGCCCAAGCGTCCTGTCATCCAGGGCCTAATCGATCACTTCAACGCCTCCCCGGACCGCTCAGGCGACGGCAAGGTCCCCGTCCAGTACAATCAGGTACTACTAGGTTTTCCCTCCCCGTACGTTGCCCAAGATCCGCCGCGTCCGCCCTAGCTATTTCCGTACTTGGATCTATACGTGTGGATTTGTATTGGGTGGTCACAGGTGAGGAATTGGTTCCATAACCGGAGGTCCGCGCAATCCCAGCGGTCCAGGAAGATGATGCTACCCCCTGTTAACGAGGAACACCACCCAGTGACCGGATCCTACTCAGGTGCTGCTGAAATATATCCCCATCTTAACTCTCTTTATTTCCTTATTATCATGTACTTAATTGCTACGATGACTGATCTTAAGTTGCTACGATGATACATGATGGTCTATTGGTAAAGCTTTCGTGGTGCAGAAGTTATGCATAGCCTCCCCGTTGGCATGTTGTTACAAGGTTTTGCATGTCATGAAGCTTGTCGCCCTGCTGTCTCACCTATTGACACCTAACTCGGCAATTGCACGACACATGGTTCGTGTGCCCATTACATTTATGCACAACTGCAGGCAAAAATGGCAACCAAGTTAATTTTGGCGAGTTAGCCTATCCTGTACATTTTGTGGGCAAATCAAAATATGCCGGCCATTGCCTCTGTCCTTGAAGCCCCTTAATTTGGGATTTTCCAGGACACGCAGTTGTTTCTGCGCCCATTACTTTTATTCACAACAGCAGGCAAAATTTTCGACTAAAGTTCTCGTTGGCAGGTTCTGGGACTTTATAGCCTAGAATGTAATCCTTTGTATTTGTGGGCCCTTGAAAGTTTGTTGTCGCGCTGTCTCAGCTGTTGACACTCAGTTTGGCAATTGCAGGACACGTGGTTTGTGCGCCCTTTACTTTTATTCATAACTCTAGGTCACATGGCACAATTTTCATGTTTGTTGTTTAGAAGATTTTAGTTCTGTAACTGACCAAACGCATATAGTGTATCATGTTGATTATGGTTTATTGATACTGCCATTACCAATCAGGGAATATTTCTTCGGATGGTGGTCATGTCCAGTTTGAAGCAAAGTCGGCTAGAAATGGAGCATGGTATGAAGATATATACATATTTCATCATTTCCTCTTTCATGTCATTTCATGTCACATGTGGTCTGTTTTTGTGTATGTGATTTAATATTCCACGTGAGTGTGGGTGGGACTGTCTGATGTGGGAGGGATAGTTGAATGAACCTTTCAGTTTTACATGCTTGACCAATTCTTGTTGTTACAGGTACGATGTTGCTGCCTTTCTGTCCCACAGGTTCATTGACACGAGGGACCCGGTAATGACCATAGAACTTTTTGTTAAATAGGATTGATGTTAGTAAATTCATTTCTGCCATTCTTTATTCAAGCACTTAGCTAGCACTAAAGGTAGAGATGATTCCGGTTCTTGTCTTTTTATAGTTGGTGACAGTATTGATGTTAGAACATTTTGAACACCTGACTCATCTAACTTTGTGTTGGGGAGTCTTTAACAACACAAGATAGTACTAATAAAGTACTGAACAGTTAAGAAGACTTTAACAACCTTGTGTATTTGTACTTTAGGCTTATATGGAAAGCTAATTGGTGGTATAGAACTTGCTTTCACAATCTCTCTGTTTTCTCATGTAAAACAAAATATAAATTGAATGTTTCTTTCAATGATTATATAGCTCGATCTGCAAAATGTCTGAGTTTCAAAAAGGAAAAAGTTAGTTCACCCCCTTCAATTATCGTCCTTGAGCTGTAGAAATTGAAGCGAATCAAACTGCAATGATGGTTTCATGCCAGCTTGGAAATGTACCGAGCGCATTCAGCTGCATTGCCACCATGGAACCCCACTTACCCATTCTACCAATCTCATGATCTAGTTAGCATAGGAAAAAAATTTAATTTTTTATATGGTGTGAACGTGCAATAACATGCAACGCGTGACACAATCTGCACCACCTGACCACGCATTGCTTGTCATAATCATGATGTCATGATCCGATCATCAATGGCGTGGCCTTGGCGACAGCCATCGCACAGTAGTCTCCTCCAAAATGGATTATTAAGTTAACTTCTGGTCTTCCCAGCGCCGCAGGACTTTGTGATCATAATCACTCCTGTCTGCTCCTCTTCCGCACAGCCAGCCACGAGGAGGGGAATCTCTGAGACAAAGTGCCTATCTAGGTTCTTGTATAGTACATTTCCTTAATGAAAGGAAGAGGCAAGAGAAATAGTACAGCTCATTTGCTAGGTCACAGTTTGGGTATTTTAATCTATGCGTTTTGATACAGTAGATTGCTGGATTTCTGTTTTATTTTCTACTGATATTTCATCCTAGATGAAGAAGGGCGTTAATTGTTAGAGATGTCGTCACATTACTATTCAGTTAATATTATGGATATATGGTCATTTTCAAAAACATAATATCACTAGTGAGGGTTGCTTGTATTTACTCTTCTATGGGGAAAATGAAACCCAAAGAAGTGAATGGGTATCTTGTTTCATCGACCCTTTCTTCATAAGGGAAGAAAGGGTTTTCAAAATTTGCAGCAAAGCTAGCAACATCATATGTAGTACAACAATTGTGCAGCAAGCTAGCAATAACATTCAGTACCAATATAATTGCATAAGAGTTTCTTTTTCAATGAATAGCCAGGCGCAAATTGCAGAGCCGGACTTGTACATATTCAAACTGTAAAGCATATGCATCTGTGCTGTGTTAGTTTGCAAATTAACTAACATCCATGCTGTGTTAATTTCCAAATTAACAAACTGATCATTCTAACTCTGTGCTTACTATCTGTCATTCACATGATGCCAAAACTTTGTTTCGTGATGTGTCTGCCTAAGTTGGATGATTTGCCATAATTCAAGTATTTCTTTCTTCCAGTTATCTATGGAGAATCGCAACAGCAGTAGTAGTCCTATTTTAGACTCTTAGTTGCCTCCACACACACAAAAGGAAGAAGTCACAGCCATAGTACGGAAAGAAGTTTGCATCATGTAGCAAGCGCGGAAAGCAAACGTGTTTGACGGACACCAATGGGCTGGTGCGGAGTTGCACAAACCTTCCAGTCCTAAGTGATACATGTGGTTAGGAGTGATTTGCGCTTCTTTTCATAGTCAAGGGTGAAAACTAGCCTTGATCATTTTCGAGAAATATTCAATACCCATGTTCCTCTAGTGTTTAATCACTCTCCACAGCGGGTTCATTATACCAACTGTGCTTGCACTTATTTATTTATTTTGTTTCAGGAAGTACTAGTTCGATTTTGTTGGCTTGGACCTGAGGAGGATGAATGGATTGATGTTTGTAAAGGTGTGAGACTGCGTTCTCTCCAATGTGTTGCTGTGCTTCCTGGGGATCTCATTCTTTGTTTTAAGGTAGCCATCTTAAACGACTTCTTTTCACCTGACTTGGCAAGCTAGCATCTCACAACTTGATAATTCATGTCTTCATGAAACATTAAGTTACCCTTCGGAATACTAAGCCAGTTTATTTTAGCCACACAATATGTATCCAATGCCTGACAGCTCTCCATTTTCCTTTTGTTATGCACTTGAAAATTCCACAGTTACTTTCTATGGCGTATGATAGAGTAGTGATGGGTATGTCTTTTGGATTTCACCTGCCAAGAGTCATTAAAAGTTTCTGCTTTGACGTTTGACTGTTCCTTGTTGATACTCAACTTGTATAGGCTCTATTTCTTGTTTTTATATACTTATAAAAGATGTGATTCCAGTTTGAGAGTTTTCAAACTATTGTGGTTGACAACACTTACTAAACGACCATAAAAGCAGTGCATTTTATTATGTCATACTTTTGAGTACTAAAACTGTTTTTTATTCTAAAATTGGGTGTAAATTTATCCAATAAATTTTATTATTACTTTATTATTAAATTGAGCACTGAAAGATTTTTTTTTCAAAATGAATGCTGTAGCCTATCTCTGGTCATTTATAAAGTGGATAAACCAACTTTCATCAAATAAGCTTTTCCAATAAATCCTCATGTTGGTAATTGCGCACAAACACCGGTATGCCGATAAATTAGAGCATTGAGAGGAAATGTGCATGACTTTACTGCTCTTTCAAGAAGTATTATATACTCAAAGTAGGGTATGGTTGAGGGTCTGACTAAGGATTTCTTGTCGCTGGATGTAAATAACACAGTAAGGGAATGTTGTTTTAGCTGTCTCATCATGTAGTATTATCATTTACTCAAGTTGATTTCTGTGCCGAATTGAACAGGAAGGCAAAGAGCAGGCCTGCTATTTTGATGCGCATGTTCTTCAAGTTCAAAGACGCAGGCATGACATAAGGGGGTGCCGCTGCAGGTTTCTTGTTTGTTATGATCATGATCACTCTGAGGTAATTCTCCTTCTGTCTACAGTGTTGAGTGTTCACGCATTTACTCTGGTTCCATTGTTACGCCATGGTAGGATATCAGAATTAATTGACGCTTGGGTCCTGGAGCTTCAGTTCTGTTATAGGGCTGTTGGCCTGACAATAGAAATGGATTTTCGACTTCATCCACGAAAGTTATTATTACAACTACGACCCGAATTGCCAAATCAGACATTCATCCCTATGATTTATAACGTACCTGGACATTTATAAATGAGTAGCTCGCCATGATCGTTTCTCTAACCATTAAAACCCATCCTAGTTTCTGTAGGCAACCAAACTTACTTCAAAGTTTCCATGTGATTTCATTTCCAATCTGCAATTTTTTTTATCACCGAACAAAAGAAATCTGAATGTTCAAGTAAAATTGATGGGGAAGAATAGTGTAAGACACTATATTTTTTTTGTTCTAGGCTAGTTATATTACTATATGTAGTCAAATAAAATGGAAAGCATAATGAGTTTAGTTTGTTTTATGATGTTTATACCAAATAATTTATTTTGGCATTTCTTTTCACATGACAGGAGTTTGTTCCACTGAGCATGGTATGCCGTCGACCAATGCACCAGACAACCCAAAAGCCACACAAAATGATGAGTATCAACACTGACAAGGTGACCGGGGGCGCGGTTCCCATTCCACCAGATCAAGGAGGGCCATCTGACAAGGCGGTTGCTCCCTTACTAGACACACCTACTAGCACCCGCAGCTATTCAGTGGCAGATGTTGAGATGGGGGATGCGGAGGCTGCCCCAAACAGTGAAGCTGCAAATGAAGCACATGACGACACGATGAATCTGGGAGTGTAGTTCTTTGGCTTCCCAGTGCATTTCGTTGTGAATTTTCTAATCGAATAATGTTTGCCTCAGAACTTCCAAAAGAGGAAGGATGGTTACCCAGTAACTGTAATGTGCCCATGTTGACTGGATTGCTTGTGTGGTGCAAAAATTGTTGGATTGGTTATCTATATCTATATAGCTATGTCGTCGGAGAAGATATTATTTTGTGGTGGTATTGTCTTTTGGGGTTAGGGTTCAGGGTTATCCTTCAGTACACCCCCTTAGATGAAAATATTGGCAGTAGTGTCATTTCCTGTAACTGGAATTACCAAGGGGTAATATTATCACACGGAAGGCCCTCCAAATAGAGGATCTGTCAATACATCTCGTGGAATAAGGGATCTATATATAGATCGCCCTTTGTCCTCTTCTTCTACCTGGACATCTAACTCTCTCCTTTCATCTGCCAATTAACGGCTCCTTGTTTTCCTTCTTTTTATCTGTTCTCATTTGATCGATTTGCCACCAGCGCTGACTCCTCGCATTTCCGAAGCTGATGGAGAAGCTAATATTGCCCTTCCAATTGACAACTAACGACATATTTGAATGCATCACCATGCACAGGCACCATTGAGGAAGCAGATCCATAGAGGAAGCAGATGGTATATTGAGGATGTTCTCCAAAACCTAAATTCTATGATAGTGCAACATTGCTAGATTAGATGGGCGTTCCTTCATCGGGATAATGGTGGCGTTGGAATGTATGACCGCTTTTTATGAATCAGATTTGCCATTGTTGCACACAAACACGTTTTTTTGTGGATAAAAGACAAACACAAGAAAAACTTATTTAGTATAACCTGATTTTGATTTTCTTTAACAAGGTGATTTTCATTAGCATTCCCCACCTAATTTCAGAAAAGAAGAGATACAGAAATCGGAAGTACAATCATATGTGCAACTGTGTTTAGTATATTAGAACTAAGTTTTGCTCACCCGGAAAAAAAGTACTAAGTTTCTGCTCAAGTCTCATGGGTCGCTCCTGTGACTCTAGGCGGCCCGTGGTGGCGGCGAGGCACCTCATCCACCTCCTTCACTTCCCCTGCTACCCAGGCATGCT